AATAAAAGGAATACACATTGGAAAAGAAGAAGTAAAACTGTCACTGTTTGCAGATGACATGATACTATACATAGAGAACACTACAGATGCTACCAGAAAACTACTAGAGGTAATCAATGAATTTGGTAAAGTAGCAGGATCCAAAATTAATGCACAGAAATCTCCTGCATTCCTATACACTAATGATGAAAAATCTGAAAGAGAAATTAAGGAAACACTCCCATTTACCACTGCAACAAAAAGAATAAAATACCTAGGAATAAACCTACCTAAGGAGACAAAAAACCTGTATGTAGAAAACTATAAGACACTCATGAAAGAAATTGAAGATGATTCAAACACATGGAGAGATATACCATGCTCTTGGTTTGGAAGAATGAACACTGTGAAAATGGCTATAGTACCCAAAGCAATCTACAGATTCAGTGCAATCCCTATCAAACTACCAATGGCATTTTTCACAGAACCAGAACAAAAAACTTTACAATTTGTATGGAAACACAAAGAAACCCTGAATAGCCAAAGCAATCTTGAGAAAGAAAAATGGAGCTGGAGGAATCAGTCTCCTGGACTTCAGATTATACTACAAAGACAACCTCCAAGTGGGAGAATATATTTGCAAATGAAGCAACTGACCAAGGATTAATCTCTAAAATATACAAGCAGGTCATGCAGCTCAGTATCAAACAAGCAAAAAATCCAATCCAAAAATGAGCAGATCTAAGTCGACATTTCTCCAAAGAAGATATACAGATTTCCAACAAACACATGAAAGGATGCTCAACATCACTAATCATTAGAGAAATGCAAATCAAAAATACAATGAGGTATCATCTCATACCATTGAGAATGGCCATGATCAGAAAATCTACAAACAATAAATGCTGGAGAGGTTGTGGAGAAAAGGGAACCCTCTTGCACTGTTGGTGGGAATATAAATTGATACAGCCACTATGGAGAACAGTATGGAGGTTCCTTAAAAAAATGAAAATAGAATTACCATATGACCCAGCAATCCCACTACTGGGCATATACCCTGAGAAAACCATAATTCAAAAAGAGTCATGTACCACAATGTTCACTGCAGCATTATTTACAATAGCCAGGACATGTAAGCAACCTAAGTGTCCATTGACAGATGAATGGATAAAGAAGATGTGGCACATACATACTGTGAAATATTACTCGGCCATAAAAAAGAAACGAAATTGAGTTATTTATAGTGAGGCGGATGGACCTAGAGTCTGTCATACAGAGTGAAGTAAGTCAGAGAAAATCAAATACCATATACTAACACATATATATGGAATCTAAAAAAAAAAAAAATGGTTTTGAGGAACCTAGGGGCAGAACAGAAATAAAGCCGCAGACGTTGAGAATGGACTTGTGGACACGGGGAGGCGGAAGGGTAAGCTGGGACGAAGTGAGAGAGTGGTATGGACATATATACACCATGAAATGTAAAATCGATAGCTAGTGGGAAGCAGCCGCATAGCACACGGAGATCAGCTCGGTGCTTTGTGACCACCTAGAGGGGTGAGATAGGGAAGGTGGGAAGGAGACACAAGAGGGAGGAGATATGGGGATATGTATATGTATAGCTGATTCACTTTGTTATAAAGCAGAAAATAACACACCATTGTAAAGCAATTATACTCCAATAAATATGTTAAAAAAATTCGTCAATCTAGAAATAAATGGACAATTTTATTTGAGCCATCCTGAAGATTATTACCTGGAGAGAGTCTTTCAGAAAGCTCTGAGGGCGGTTCCACCAGTTAGATGTCAAAGCACAGAAGTTTCTGAGACAAAGGGTTATAAGTCAAATGACAGATTACACAATCCAGATCTGTGCTTACAAAGCTAATAGTGGGTCATCATAACCCATTAAAAGATTAAGGAGAAAGGTGATCTCCTGAGGAGGTCTGGTTAATGCAGATGCACAGTACATTCACTCTACAGGGGAGGCAAGAGGGCCAAGCAGGTAGATGAAAATTTTGTTTAAATTTTTTTTGTCTTGCCCTCAGATATAAATTTTATTTCATCAGGGTCATAGTTAAGTTTGAACCATATAGTGCTGGGGAAGAGGAATTTTCCTCTACCGTTCTAGGTACTTCTGGTTGTTCTAATAATTAAATTGACATGAGACAGATTAACAGGGGAAAATCACACTAAAGTTTAATAGCTTGTATACACGGGCGAGTCCCAGGAAAACTGAGTAAGTCGCCAAAATGACCAAGGCCCTCACCTTAAATACCAGAGGGAACTGCAAGTGGGAAGGCCTTGAAGCAGAATGAACTTGGTATGTTTAAGAAATAGAAAGACCAGTGTGGTTGGAATGTGCGAATGAGATGAGGGTAGAGAGATGATCAAAGGCAAGATCACCCAGGGCCTTATAGGCCATTTAAAGAAGTTTGGATACTATCTTAAAGGGTATGGGTACAACTGAAGGGATTCAACAAGGTCAGCTTAGAGTTTTTAAGAGGTTACTTGGGCTGCTGTTTGGAGAATGCACTGTATGGGTACAAAGTAGAATGCCTCTGTCATCCAGGCAGGAGGTGATGGGGGCTTGAGGCAATGCAGGTGGACAGATTAGATGTGCAAAATCTTCCAGAGTGAAAAAGAATCTTAATGGATAGGATATAGGTATGAGCAGAAGGCAGATGGTATGAGGATTGTCAATATTATCAAAGGCTTAAAACAAGAGACTCTATAGAAATTACACACTGAGGTTTATCCCTATATTCCTAAAGCTGGTGAGCAATCTCCGTGATTCTTGGTAACTTGGCAGAGTTTCTGAAAATCATGGACTTGTGTGACTTTTTCTTCCATTTAAGAAGATTTAGGTTACTGCAAAGGCCACTAGACACGATCAGTTCAACCTAGTAGATATGGAACGAAAATGTATGAAAAATGTGTTCTGTTATTTAAAGAACCACTTGACTAGTATCTTGCCCTGGGGGTGCCATAAAAAGATGTCAATTCAGTTTGGTGCTGCTCAGGTTGGGTTCTTAGGAAGGAGATGCTGAGGCAGAGTTTGGGTTGCTAGATATTTATCAGGGATCCATACCTGTGAAAGGAAGAAGGGAGAAGCAAGATTGGGCAAATAAAAAAGTCAGTTTCAATGCAGGTCCAACGAAGTGTGGGTCAACCCCGAAGGGAGCTCTGGAGCAAATATTGCCCATCAGAGTGACCTGCATTAAGCCCAAACTGCTGGGTCTTTACATCCTTGCCTCACTCTGTCATTGGGTATAGGCTACCCCAGGAATGGTGTGCCTTTGGGTGAAGCTGTTCTCTGCAGCTCAGTCCAACCCTGAAGCTGGTGACAGGTAAGCATCAAGTGCTTTCTAGAAGTGGATTGCACATCCCCATATCCACCACAAGTACTGCATTGCTGAAGAGACGTAGTAAGTAATTTGGCTAGCTGCTTTATTCTTTAATTTAGGTATTTCTTTCCTCTTGAGAACTCAAGATAAAACATACACAATTTTTTAATCACAAAATATTTACCAGTCACTGGGACAATCCAAGAGAGGGTAACTAAGAGATAAGAGATTGGTTGGAGAAACCAAGATCAGGAAAAGCACAAAGAGAAAAAACTAATGGAAGGAGGCTTCTAGGAGCAAAGAGAAACAAATTTTAATAAAATACATGGAGTTATGGCATCCGGTCCTGGACCTTATTTCAAAAATCACTACAATGAACTTATCTTTAAAACAGTTTTTTAAATTACATTTTAAAATGTTATTAGCTCTCTTTTTTTTTTATTTATTTGTTTTTTTTTTGCAGTACGCGGGCCTCTCACCGCTGTGGCCTCTCCCGTTGCGGAGCACAGGCTCCGGACGCGCAGGCTCAGCGGCCATGGCTCACGGGCCCAGCCGCTCCGCGGCACGTGGGATTTTCCCGGACCGGGGCACGAACCTGCGTCCCCTGCATCGGCAGGCGGGCTCTCAACCACCGCGCCACCAGGGAAGCCCTAGCTCTCTTTTGTTTCCTTGACAGATATGAAAAACATGGATAAAAGAGACCGACCATTCATGAGAGTTCAGAAAAATGATACCTCAGGTATTTTTTCTACTTCTAAGCCTGTTTTACGATTTATGGTGGATTATTGGTGATATAAAATTGGAATGTTGATTTTCAAAAGTTTAATAATGGAAGGTTCATTTTTTGGTCACATTGAAGATTTCTCCAGTTCCCTTACAATAGTCAGGCCAACAGTTCTTTCCTGTGCTTGTCCTTAAATCGTTTGCGAGCTTGTTGCAGTCATGTGATCCACGATATACTTAATAAATCTTAATTGCCTTACATCGCACAGCTGAATTTTTCATATCATTGAGGCAATAATACTTGAATTACCCAAATTTTTATACTTCATGCTACTTGGCCTTAGAGTATCCTCTACCTGTGTGTTACTTTGTCAAAATAGTTAGTATCAAACTAAACTAGGACATTTTATATGCTTGGATGGAGAATGGCTGCCCAAACATTTTGTATCATTTTAATCTTATCTGGCCTATTAAATTTTTTAGGGTTCAGTTTCAACCTTTTTTCATATTTAATTGAAATCAATTTTTCTAAGTTAAAAATGCAGCTATGACTTTAAAAATTCTATTTACTTAATTTGATTCATAAGAATGTGATACTTAAATATTCACAGTTGATGACTAACACGTTTTAAATAAGAATGGTCACACTTTGTAACTTGACAATATAATTTTCTAAAATTCTCAATGTACTAACTTAAATGGAAGTATTCCTTTTATGCCCTTTTAGAAGTAATTTTATGCAAGGAATATAGTGGTAATATTTTTTAAATTTCCAGAAATTGAGGTTCAAATATACTACAAATACTGCAATATATTACTTCTCACATTTGCTTAAAAATCTTTAAAAATAAGACCTGCAGTCAACATGTTGCCATAACTCTATTTTGACTTCCAATAACATAATACTATTTCTTTGTCATTTTCTGTTTTCGATGAAAAACAGATAATCTGGTATTTCGTATGAAAAATGAAATGAGAAGCACCAAGTATAAACCAGTAGACTATCAACAATTGCATGCATTAACCGAAGCAAAAAAATTAGCTTCTGCCTCTACGGAGCTAAAGGTTAGAAACTGTGTGTGTGTGTGTGTGTGTGTGTGTGTTTTCTAGTTTTGGAAAATTGAATTGCTAGAAAGTAAAATGGTAGTTACAATGAAATGTGAAAATAAATAACATTCTAAATAGTTTTTAGAATCTTCCAACTATTGGTAATAGTGAATAGCAACATTTTTTTTTTCCTATTTATTTTTTTGGCAGTGTTGTGTCTTCGTTGCTGCATGTGCACTTTATTTGTGGCAAGCGGGGGCTACTCTTTGTTGCGTTGCACAGGCTTCTCATTGCGGTGGCTTCTCTTGTTGGGGAACACAGGCTCTAGGCGCACGGGCTTCAGTAGTTGCAGCACACAGGCTCAGTAGTTGTGGCTTGAGAGCTCAGTAGTTGTGACTTCTGGGCTCTAGAGCACAGGCTCAGTAGTTGTGGCGCACGGGCTTAGTTGCTCCACGGTATGTGGGATCTTCCTGGACCAGGGCACAAACCCGTGTCCCCCTGCACTGGCAGGCAGATTCTTAACCACTGCACCACCAGGGAAGCCCTGTGAATAGCAACATTTATTGAATGCTCTCAGACACACTGTGCTATGTAGTCTACATGCATTACTCATTTAATGTTCTTAACAACCCCATGAGGCCTGAATTCAACTTTATTTTTAGAAAGATAGCTATCTCATTAATTTTCAACAATTCCTAACGTAATCTAAAAAAAATAAAAATTGCTAGTAAGTGCTAGCCATGAGTTATCATCTAATTTAAAGCTCCTTCTGCAACACCATACAAAGTATGCCCCCAGGTGCCTCTCTTTTCTCGAATTCCCTTTTTGCCCTGATCTAAGAAGAGGTGAGCCTCGACTAGATTTGAAAGAGTTTTATGTGCAAGTGATTGTGCACAGTATTTTAGAGCCATGGACGGGTTTAGGATTATTCAGGCAGTTATGTTTCCCTCTTATGCAAATAATAGAGTACATTATAAACAGCATTTTCATTGCTTGGTTAAATTAAAAAATCTGGTTTAGCAAAGCAACATATTAAGCAATTTATAAGCTTTCATATGTATTTAATATTTTTGTGTTATATTAGTTTTACATAGCTTTTTATTGTTAATGTCTTTTTAAAAAGGCAACTCTCATGATTTCAAGGCACATTTGATACCCTATTCTGGGGAAATTACCATATATTCATGAGCTATGTCTCCTCAAACTAAGGAGACCACTTAAAAAGTAGGGCATTGGGCTTCCCTGGTGGCGCAGTGCTTGAGAGTCCGCCTGCCGATGCAGGAGACGCGGGTTCGTGCCCCGTTTCGGGAAGATTCCACATGCCGCGGAGCGGCTGGGCCCGTGAGCCATGGCCACTGAGCCTGCGCGTCCGGAGCCTGTGCTCCGCAAATGGGAGAGGCCACAACAGTGAGAGGCCCGCATAACGCAAGAAAAAAAAAAAAAGTAGGGCATTATTTGTTTGTTTCAGATATAGCTGTAAAATAACTTAATGTTATTCAAAGAAACTTTATGGCAAAATCACTTACATAACTATCATCCTAATAAAACTATTTTCATATTTCTGACTTCTGTGCTGATCTGTTGTATATATACCATCTATACACATATGTATTGATACATATAATAAATACTTATTATGTGCCTTGAATATATAATGGTGAACAATATATAACACCTACCCTCATGGGGTGTATTATTTGCAGGAGAGAGGGAGGAGAGAAGCCAGTGTTTATCAAATAAGCCATGAAATAAAATTATATTAAGTATGAACTCCAATAAAAAAGGCTGTCTGGTGTATAATAACAGGACTTGATCCTAACTGGGTGGGAAGGCTTTTCTAAGGAAGTGACATTGTAATTGGAATCTCAAGGACAATAAGAATTAGCCAAACAAAAACAGGAGTGATGAGTACTCCAAATAGAAAAAGATGCATACCTTATCACATTCCAATTTTTGGATATTTAGGTTGTATCCAAGTTTGTGATATTGGAAATCATGTTTCCGTAAATATCTTCATGCATAGACACTTTATGTGGATAAATTCCCGTGATTGGGATGTCTGGGCCAAAAAGTATGAATGTATTTTAGTTCTCTCCCAAAGTACTGTTGTAGTAAAGTTGCCACTACAAACATTTTGTCTGCACCCTTTTCAGTATTGGAATGTGTACAGTTGACTCTTGAGCAATGCGAGGGTTGGGGTGCTGACCATCTATTGGAAGAAAATCTGTGTATAATTTATAGTTAGCCCTCCTAGTCAGCCCTCTGAATCCAAGGTTGCTCTATATCTGTGGCTCTACATCCTCAGATTTAACCAGCTGCAGATTGTGTGATACTGTACTATTTAGTGAAAAAAATGCACGTATAAGTGGACCCATGCAGTTCAAACCTGTGTTGTTCAAGGTTGACTGTACATATATGTTCATATATATATTCCAAATATTATCTATATATCTGTTCATCCATCTGTCTGTCCATCTGTCCATCCATCTATTCCTCTATCCAGATGCACATTTTGGATGAATGGGGAATCGTTGAATGTTAAAATCTATATTTGGTCAAAGTGAATTTCCCTTTGATGATAGGATTTCTATCAAAGAATAAACATATTTAAAATTTTAAATTATTAATGTGGTTTTTTGAGTTTGACATTAAGTTCAGGGACAATAATTTCTTAGCACTGTCAGCTAACTATAGTGCTTCTCTGGTCACTGTGTTATACATTTATGAGGTTAAATGGATGATCACTCTCAACTGACATTTTAAATAACATCAATAACCTTTTTGTTCACAGAATATCATTCATGAAGAAGCTTTTTAGTTATATATTTTCTAGAAAAAACTTGGTACCTGGGATTCATAGCTTGGCAAATCTCAAAAAATCTCTTGCCATCAACTACTGAAAATGGTTCACATTCTGTAGCAATCATTTTGACAAGCTTTTTGCTTCCATTTTTAGTCTCCATAGATTCATAATAATAAATAATTTTCCTTTTAAAGCATTATTGTAATATCCGTTGTTTTGAATTTGGTCAGTGAGAACAAAATGTGTCCTGGATACCTCATCATTTTCAAACAGTCTTCTTTCCTTTATACAATCTTCATTTTTTATTATATCTAGTTTAAGGAAGATTTACTGGGAATGTCATTTTCATGATTTTTGGACTCTTCCCTTCTCATTTAATTTAGAGATATCAACTTGACATTTTGCTTTTAATTTTTTCTTGTAAGATGTGAACAGTTCCCAAATAGGGCTTTTTCTTGAAAGATACATGGCTTAAATGGAATTAGATAACTGAAAATTAAATACAATTCTTAAAATTTATTTTGTTTAATGTTATGAATGCTAATATATCAAACAGCCTACACCAACTGGAATTATGATAATATTGTCTCTGTTATCCTTTCTTATATTATTAACATTTTATGAAATATGTGTTGACTGAAGAATAATATTTTATTCTTAATGTTACATAGTTAACACATTCTCTCTTAGTATTTGTATTAATTATCGGTCAATTCCCAATTTTTTTTACTAATATGCTCATTTTTTTGCACATGAAATCGACAGCTTTAACAATCATTATTACTATGGCACTTTACTGTGGCAATATTAAATGTAAACATACTCAAGCTGAATGATAGAATGTTAACATTTAAAGCACATAGGAAGGACTTCTCTGGTTGCGCAGTGGTTAAGAATCTGCCTGCCACTGCAGGGGAGACGGGTTCGATCCCTGGTCTGGGAAGATCCCACATGCCACAGAGCAAATAAGCCCGTGCGCCACAGCTACTGAGCCTGCGTGCCACAACTACTGAAGCCCACGCGCCTAGAGCCTGAGCTTTACAACTAGAGAAGTCACTGCAGTGAGATGCCCGTGCACTGCAATGAAGAGTAGCCTCCATTTGCTGCAACTAGAGAAAGCCCGTGCGCAGCAACGAAGACACAACACGGCCAAAAATAAATAAGTTAATTAATTTTTTAAAAAGCACGTAAGAAGATTTTTGCTTCAAGTTACATCTAGAATGCTTAGCTAAATTTGAAAAGAAATTAACAGTATTTTTAATTAGCAATAAATTAGGAAGTCTTTCCTGATTCATTTGGCTGGTATTGTTATACTGATTAGATGTGATAGTGACCTATATAATTGCTGTGTTATTGATCATGCACAAATTCCGGGATGCCTGATGAGACACTGATGTGCACATTGAGTAATCTAGTCTTTCAAAGTCTGAGACTGAACCTGAAGCCAAAGAGTAGATGTGGGCTGAAAATTGAGACCAATTTTTGGTACATTATGTTAACTGTTCATTCCCAGTTTAAGTACAAAAGAGATCTTTACAATTATTTTTATTTGAATTTCTTTACTTAGCAAGAACGAATATTTCTTGTCCAACTCAAGTAATCCATCTACTAATTCTTTTTTTAAAACACTATATTATGGGAAATTGCAAAAATAGGCAAAATTGGAGTGAATGGTATCATTAATCTCCATGTAACATTATCCAGCTTCAACTATGAACAACTCTTGGCCGTTATTTCCTCTGTACTCCCACCTACGACTTCCCTCTGCACCAGATTATTTTGAAATCTCAGACATCATAATATTCACCATAAATATTTCAGCGGTATCTCTAAAAGATTAGGGCTATAAAACCCCAAACCCTACAATACCATTACTATTAAAATGTTCATGATTTCTTAATAATTTCAAATAATCAGTGTTAAATTTCCCTGATTGTCTCCAAATTTTTTTCTTAAAGTTTATTCAAATTAGTATCTAAATAATATCCATATATTACAATTGATTTTAATTTTTTAGGTTTCCTCCTCCATCCTCTTGTGTCCTTTTTTTTTAATATAAATTTATTTTATTTTATTTATGTAGTTTTGGCTGTGTTGGGTCTTCGTTGCTGTGCACGGACTTTCTCTAGTTGTGGTGAGCAGGGGCTACTCTTTGTTGCAGTGCACGGGCTTCTCATTTCAGTGGCTTCTTTTGTTGCAAAGCACGGGCTCTAGGTGCCCGGGCTTCAGTAGTTGTGGTGCAGGGACTTAGTTGCTCCACACCATGTGGGATCTCCCCGGACCAGGGCTCGAACCCATGTCCCCGGTATTGGCAGGTGGATTCTTAACCACTGTGCCACCAGGGAAGCCCCATCCTCTTGTATTCTTATAATTTATTTTTTGAAGAGATTGTAGTGTTTATCCTTTATAGTTTCTTACAGTCTGGATTTTGCTGATTATATCCTGGTGGTGTCATTAAACATATTTTCCTATCTCTTGTATTTCCAGTAATTGGTAGTTATATCTGGAGACTTGATCAGATTCAAGTTCAGTTTATTTTGGTAAGAACACTTATTGACAGAATCTCTGCGCTTGTCTTTTTCTATTATAAATTGTGTTGCAGTGAATAGCTTTGTTCACCTATCTTTTTATACTTCGGCCAATACAGTTTTCAGGTAGATTTCTATAGGTAAGATTGCTTGGTCAAAGGATAAATCCATATGAAACTCCAAATTCCCTTCTACGGGGGGTTGCATCATTTTGTATTCCCACTAGCAACATAAGAGAGAGAACATGTTTTCCCATAGCCTCACACAGTGTTTTGTTAAATATTTGAGTTTTCGCCAACCTGATAGATGAGGAATTGCATCTTAGTATAGTTTTTAAAAAATTTTTATTTCTTCAGTTCTGTATTGAGTTATAACTCACATATAGTGAAGTACACAAATCTAAAGTGTACATATCAATGAATTTTGACATAGGTACATGTAACCAACACTTAAATTGTCCACTAATTACTGTTGTTTATATCTAAAGATGGATCATCTGGCCCAAAGGGCTTTCATGGTATTTCAGGGTACCTATTTAGGGTTTTATTATCTTGGCTCATCACAATAAACTACTTTCGAATGTATTACTTTTGTAAATTTTAATTCATCAGCATTCTGCATAAATCATCATCCACCTAAAATATTGCTTTCAAATGGCTTATTGCTCAGCAAAATGAATTGGAATCCCCTAGAAATTACTCTATTGTAAAAGATACAATTTTAAATCTTCTTGTTTGTTTAAAAACTTTATTTTTAAAAAAAAATTTGGCCAAAGATAGAAGTAGAGTCAATGAGTGAATTTACAAAAAACTCAGGATGTTCTGCAAAATATTCGAAGTGTCTAGTGAAAAACTGTAGCTTTATTTTCACTTTTATAGTCTACTTAATTGATCTTTCCCTGGGACCAAAGGCAGTAGCATTGATTTTTTTTTTTAATTATAGAAATGTGTCTACATCTTTCACCAATGTGTTTTAATTTTTTTGTACAGTATGGACCAAATATGTCAAAGAAATCTAATTTTAAAAGTTGTGCCTGCTGCAACAAACTTCAGAGACTATAGATGGTAAATAGTTGGAATGAGTTTTAGGCATTCTTCAAGCAAACACAAGTGTCTGATTTTAGAAACACTACATATATACTTTTATTTTTTCTGCGAAATAGAGAGATGGCTGTATGTTTTCCTGCAATGTCCTGTTCTGACTTATTTATTTATTTTATTTATTTACTTATGGCTTCATTGGGTCTTCATTGCTGTGTGTGGGCTTTCTCTAGTTGTGGCGAGCCTGGGCTACTCTTCGTTGCAGTGCGTGTGCTTCTCACTGTGGTGGCTTCTCTTGTTGCAGAGCACAGACTCTAGGCACGCGGGCTTCAGTAGTTGTGTCATGTGGGCTCAGTAGTTGTGGCTTGTGGGCTCTAGAGCACAAGCCACAGGAGTTGTGGCGCAGGGTCTTAGTTGCTCCACGGCATGTGGGATCTTCCCGGACCGGGGCACGAACCCACATCCCCTGCATCGGCAGGCGGACTCTCAACCACGGCGCCACCAGGGAAGCCTCCAACTTTGTGTTTTTTTAAGTAATGTTTGGGTTATTTTGTTTTCTTGTACCCCTAATTTTGCATCAGTAACCACAGTGGAAAGATAATCTCAAGGTTATGGTAATCAGTGAATGACAGCTAGAAATAGCATGCATTATAGTCTTTTTAGAACTTCTCTTCTGAAGTTTTTATACCTTCAGTATTGATCTGTTAAGGCTTTCAGGGTACTAAGTATTCTAGTAACAGGGAAAATATAAAATATGCATATTTCATCAAGTTTCTGATTTCAGATTAACACTTTTATAGATGTTTAAAAGTATTAATATGAAATACACAAGTTCAGCATGTACATGTCAGTCAGAGTCTAACCACTTAAGGATTTAGAATAGAGGGGTCTTTAATGCAGGAAATGGTTACACAGGTGATAGAGCTGAGAAGCCAGAGGACTGTGAACCAACACAGGGATTAGAACAGAAGTGAGTCATTGCCTTGCCTGGGTTGGAGGGACATTTAGAAAAAGCAAGGTTGTAGTACATCCCATAGGCTGAGGTTACCCAGAGATAGTTAGAACCATAATAGAAATGTCAAGAAATGTTGGAGCAATGGAGAAGATGCAGATGCTTGTGGCGACCCCTCTGGGAGAGAGAAGGCAGAAGTGAGTAATCCTTTGGCTTCTCCCTTCCTCCCTCCCTCCCTCCAATCTCCCACTACCAATGTCTCCCTTTGGCTGAACCCAGCTGGAAGGCAGTTGCTAGGGGTGTCTGAGAAACGCAGGCTGCTCTCTGATGTGGGGCAGACGAGGAAAATGGCCAAGAATGGATCTTAAGGTAAACAGACCCAGGCCTGACATGTCTTATCAACACAAACCCAAAAGCATTTTTTAAGTCATAAAATTCGGGAAAAATTTAAATTTAGTTGAAAATTTGGGTTTCAATGCTACCTGATTTTTCACTGTTTCCTTGTTTAGTACCTTCAAATAAAGATTTGCCTGCAATTTAAAATTTAAGTTTTAATTTAAAATTTTATTTACAAAGTCATGGAGTTGAAAGATTAAAATTGTATATACAGTTCAAGGTCACATTTCTAGTAGATACTGAAGCTGAGACTAAAGCCAGGCCTCCTAATAACTTATCCAATGACCTTTTCCCATCCAGTGCTGAAGGATCACATAAAACCAATCTGGGGCTTCCCTGGTGGCGCAGTGGTTGAGAGTCCGCCTGCCGATGCAGGGGACAGGGGTTCATGCCCCGGTCCGGGAAGATCCCACATGCCGTGGAGCAGCTGAGCCCATGAGCCATGGCCGCTGAGCCTGCGCGTCCGGAGCCTGTGCTCTGCAACGGGCGAGGCCACAACAGTGAGAGGCCCGCGTACCGCAAAAAAAAAACAAAAAAAAAACAAACCAATCTGAACACGGAGGTTCTATGTGATTCTGCTGTTTATGAGTTTGATGGTCTTGACCAAGTCTTTTAACCTCTCTGAACTTCACTGTCCTCATCTGTAACATGGGAATAATGATGCCTATGATGCCTGGCAGGGAAGATGTGTAAAAAGGCAAGAAAATATATGGAATACTCTTGCAGATTTTCTGGGGCTAGATGAATTAAGGTGTTGTTTATTGTATGTATGGAAAATAGAATTACTTCACCTTTAAAAAGGTGCTAATGTTAGAGAATGCACGAATAGGATTGAAAAAGAATAAGTATTTAACTTAGAAATTACAGATTAAACATTTTTATTGTGGAAAACACTTAAAAGATATGGAAATTGCTCCTCTTTTGTTCCTTTAAATCTAGATCAGAAAAGCAGTGCAGACTTCAAAGATATCTAAGGAACAAACACTAATAAAGCAACACAAGCAAGTGTGGTGGCAAGAACACCAAAGGCTAAATGAAGTCAGGTAAGAACTGAGAGAAATCTCAATTAAGAACACGCAGGAATTACTGAGATGCACTTACCTAGGTAGATGTTCTTTAAATTTCCATATTAATTAAACTATTATAATCAAAATTTAAAGTTACAGTTGAATGTGAGTTAAATTAAAATCGTTTCATTTCTTCAGTTTAATTTGGAATCCAGTGAATATATTAATATGGCTTTTCCTTTCCTTAGGAAAAAAAGAGATAATCTTTTATGTCTGCTAATCACTTACTCTTCTGCACTCCCATTCATACATGTATTTATTTATATTATACTTAGTACTTTGGACTATAATGTTTTGCTTACATATTTGTCTTCTTATGAAGTGATAAACTTCTCAAGGACAAGCATCCCATTATATTCATCTTTACGTAGGATACATAGAAAGAGACAGATTAAATGCTTTCAGTAAATGAATGAACTAAGGGATTCAAGTTGAGTGATTTCTAAATGTAACGGCATCATGACTAACTTGTTCAGTTTGGATTTTTGACTTTTACTATTATTTCCAACAGTCACTTCAAGATGAGTTAAAACAAAATAATGATTTTATACTTGATCTTAAATGTAATCTTTGAGAAATAAATTTTTTTTCAAAGGTCAACCAGAAAGTGAAGGCAGATGTATTTCCCCTCCTTTTAAGGCATATATATTAGTTTTAATGATGGTGGTATTTATAAAGTATGCTTTTTAAAATATATGCTTGTAAGCATATATTTTATATAAAAATAGATAATTCTGTGGTCTCATTCTAAGCTAAATTTCCAAATACCATTAACTTCACTTTCGACATGGGTGCTTTTCATATTGATAGGAGTTTCCTATTCTGGCAAGTAATTGCTAAATGTGACACAAAAGACTCATGATTGGAAATAGTTTTACATCATTACATAACTTAAAACAGAGACTTTGTCATTCATACTTCCACTATAGAAACAAATCAGGCCCATTTTATCCCTTAAAATGTCACCTTTTATGGAGAGAACTTTTGAGCCCATTGGAAATTTTTTTTTAGATTTGCATAATTGAAATATGATAAAAACAAAAGCCATTAGGAAGTTTTAATTATTGTGCTCACTGATGCAGGCTCAAATGTAAGGATGCTGGAGAAAGTTTTTTATCTTGGCTGTTCCACACCCTTCTTACCGTGTATATACCTTGTTCTTGAGCGAGATAAAGGAGGCACATAGATTTCATTATGGAAAGTAATTCTTTTGGCTGACCTGGAATGACACAAAGGTGATGGAAATGAGGAATATTCAAGTAATAACGTTATGTCTTGAAACTTGTAAGGGTTGAAAATTGGACAAAAAGAAGAATTCCAAGATAACTTTCTGTGTTATTCTAGAATGTAGGCTAATTACAATGTGTATTCAGTGAAATTAAAAAGTATTAGTGATAGGAGGAAAGTTCGAGAAATGGCTAGAAAGTTCGAGAATTAAGGGACCACCAGAAAATCAGGAGTTTAAATTCTAGCAGTGTCTCTCAATCTTTAAAATCTACATTCCCTTTTAATAAAAGATGGAAAGTAAAATATTCTTACTCATCACCATAAGAGACTCCCGTCTGCGAATTTCAGGTCCCCAGCAGGTAAGGGCCTCCAATGACATCTGACTTTTGCTGGGTAACTTAGTGTATGCCGTCGTATGTTAAGTACTTTACATGGTTTGTTTCATTTACAGTGACCCTACGGAGTAGGTATCATTGTTATCCTCATTTTACAGATGAGAACCTTGAGGTTCAGAGGATTAAAATTATTTGCATAAGGTAAACCAGCTAGTTTTTGTGGAGGTGGTATTGAATCACTTGCCTTTAGCTCCTGTGCTCACTGACCTTGGAGCTGCGCAGCTTTTTCTTTTTTCCATAGGGTTCCATTCACATCACCTGATATCTAAATGGTCTAGGCTTACTAGAAAAAAAAAAAAGATTTGCCAAACCTTAATTCTTTAAAATCTGTCGTAAGAAAACTAGACAATTAAAATTTCAAAATATAAAATGTAATTTTATATTTAAATTTATAGAATTTAATATTTAAATTTATAAAATTATATTTACTATGCTTTCCAAACTATACCCCTTGAAGACCTTGATACACTTCGCCAGGAGCGCTTTCTTCCTTGTTTCAGAGTGACTGATTTTGAAATTAAAGAGGAAGTTATTTATATTGGCCATGTGGTAAAGAATTGCAATTATTATTTTAATAAGAACTTTTGACTAATAAAGTTTGAGGGGTTTATTTGTAAGCCTTACTACTTTTACTGTAGTTTCTGTTAGAAATATATGTGGTCTCTTACAATTTTATTTTTAAAGTATCACCTTTATACAGAATATATCATGGAGCTTTACCAACAACAATTAAATATTGTCTGGAAAAGTGTCTTTAAAGATGAAATTGAGGTCAGTATTCATAACTGTGTGACTCAGGCCATCTGAGAATTCGCTCTGATTCATTCCTTAGCCAACAGTTGTGAGATTTCCCTCTCTGCCCTCTGTGGTACACAGCTTGGGACAGACTCTTAAAAGAGAGAGAAGCAGATCAAATAGCTAGTCTGAGGTACCAAGCTGTCTGAACTGCTGAGTTCCTTCCTTATTGGAGGGATATGGCTCTGGCCTTCAGCCTGCTCTGGTGCCCTAATTTTCTGCTGATCTCCTGGCTGTTAGTTCCACTAAGGAACTTTAACATCCTCTCTTACTCTGCCTTTCACAATCCATGCCCCTTTGCTTATTGTTTGCATAAATGGCTTTTGATTCTACCAGTCTCCAGTGCTCCATGTTTTCCTTGTTCTGCCGAAATTGGTAACTAAGTGTACCCTAGAAATCCTAGGAAGCTCTGGGTAATTTCTGATGTTCTGAGGAGACTGATTGTACTATACCTAGAACTTTGGCAGCATCCTGGGAGGACAAGGACCTGTATGAAAGTAGAGTCCTGAGAGTTCAAAAATGTCCTCACCAGGCAGGTGGTTGCATTGCAACTGGGCATATCTAGGAAGTAGATTAATGTATCCTCTAGGCAAACAGTCACACAAAATCTCAGGAGAATTTTTGTAGTATCATCAGATTCAGTGGTACCAGAGGACAGGCCAAGTAACAGTAGGAGGTACATAAGTTGGCAGATCTGGATATGGAATGTTGCCTTACATTTGTCCCCTATTCAGATGTGGAGAAAGTTGTCTGTGCTGCAGAGTTCTGACTTGGTGAACACCTGGGACTGAGTCTACATGTCAGTGGTGAACAGGCAGGGTTTTCCTCCCCAGAGTTACCATTTTTTTTTTTTTTTTTGCGGTATGTGGGCCTCTCACTGTTGTGGCCTCTCCCATTGTGGAGCACAGGCTCCGGACGAGCAGGCCCAGCGGCCATGGCTCACGGGCCCAGCCGCTCCACGGCACGTGGGATCTTCCCAGACCGGGGCACGAACCCGTATCCCCTGCATCGGCAGGCGGACTCTCAACCACTGCGCCACCAGGGAAGCCCCAGAGTTACCATTTTAATGCTCTTGAGTGCATCGCAGTTTTTATCTATATTTCCTAAATCATATTCTACAAAACAGAAATATTCTTCAAGATATTCCATGGAGAATAATGAATTTCATCATCCTAAAAATTAGGAAAATACTTCATATTTCATCGCCTTTTTGGAGAACCTCAATGTACTTTAGCATAATCAAGTTTCTGAGAAATCCTGCACTATGGAAACTTGTCTGATTTGTTTAGTTCACCATTTACCAGTTTTTCCTAGCATCTTATTGATGTTTCTGTTTTACAGGACACAATTTGGGAACGTTAGCCTGCATTCACAAGCTAGTCTCAGAGTCTTGTAGTGCTTGCTCCTGGATTTTGTTAGGCAATTAGGACAATTAGAGAAATAGGCTGGTCTTGTCTGACGGTTCAGGGTTGTTAATCTACAAAGCCAGGATGGAGCTTACTAGAATTATTATATGCACAGTAGCAGGTTGATCTCCTGTATGAACAAAGCCACTTCTCCTGTTGGTTTTTATGTTCTGCTATGGCCTTCTAGATGCTGAAAATATAAGAGGGCTGACCTAAATGGTTTAAAGTGCTATATTTTTGTTTTAAAAAATCCATTATGAAATAACTTGTGGGTTTACTCCACTATTATGCACTTATTCTCCATATAACACTTTCAAATGTAATCTTAAAAATACCTTTGACTGGGACTTCCCTGGTGGTGCAGTCGTTGAGAATCCACCAGCCAGTGCAGGGGACACGGGTTTGAGCCCTGCTCCAGGAAGATCCCACATGCCACGGAGCAACTAAGCCCATGTGCCACAACTACTGAGCCTGTGCTCTACAGCCTGAGAGCCACAACTACTGAGCCCGCATGCCACAACTACTGAAGCCTGCGTGCCTAGAGCCCGTGCTCTGCAACAAGAGAAGCCACCACAATGAGAAGCCTGCGCACCGCAATGAAGAGTAGCCCCCACTCGCCACAACTAGAGAAAGCCCGTGTGCAGCAATGAAGACCCAACACAGCCAAAAATAAAATATATAAAATTAAAAAAAAATACCATTGACTAAGACCACATGCTAGAAAAATAGTAAGTGTCATCTACAATAGGACCTCTCCTTTATATATACAAACAAAACACTGTCCCACATTTGTGAATTGGCTTAGAAGATGATGGCACATATGTAATATAAAATACTATGCAGCCACTAAAATAAATGATAATTATGAAAATTATTTAGAAATATCTTAAAGTAAGTTAAAAAAGAAAAACCCGAATATAAAATGGTAAATATGCCATAATTACAACTAGTTAAAATATTCATGCATGTAGACAAGGGTTAGAAACTTATAGGCAAAAATAAAAATAATCATCGTATTAGTGTTGTAATTGTTGCTATTTTCTTATTTTATACCATTTAAAATATTGTATCTTAACAGTCATAATAAATCAAAACTCTTTTTATGATTTTATTAAACCTGCCATAAATAAGGGATAGACTGCAATATTTTTAGATGTCCATTTAGAGCTGGTTATAGTTTTACTCTAAAATGACTATACTTAAATAATATAGTAAAAGATTATTGAGATTTATTATGTTTTTGGTATATAAAAATATATACTTTTTACTCCCATTTCCCTAGGTCAGGACCGCCTCATCTCTGAACTTTTTAAATAACCTCCTTGTTGATCCAGGTTTGCCTGATCCCCTCCTCTTCATCTTCCACTTTTATTGTTCACCCTCCTTCTAGCCCATCCTCCATCTTGCTGCCTTGGAAATTTTTCCAGAACACAGATCTGAGCTGGCATGGTCAGCTTAATATCCCTCAGCAGCTTCCCAGTGCCCGGAGCTCTCTCCACCCGAAATAGTGCCAGGATGTACCCCGTCCTTGCCTTGCTCACGCTGTTACTTCTCCTGGAGTATTCACTTACACTTCTGTCTATCTCAGTGTCCTGGCAAGTACCTAATCCATGTTAGGAATTTAGTATGTGGTCTGAATTAGTGAACAGGTGAATAAAACCACATTAGATTGAGTGTTTCTACTGTTATTTTTTAAACCTATATATATGTTTATGATCATAAAAGAATTGATTGAGATAATGTCTATTTCAGATGTAAAATGGAATCTGAAATAAAATCCTTACTCAATGAAGAGAACATTGGAAATGAATGTCTTTCTGACCTTATGAATTTCGGTAGGTTTTTATTTTTTCTTTTTTGGTTCCACATTTAAAGGGGAGCTTTGTTTTGAAGATGAAAGTGGGCCACACACTTCATGTTCTTTTAATATTGCTGTTTGCTTTTTTCTAAAGGAATCCAAAAATAATCTGCATCTAATGACCTGTTCTTGAAGAAACTTAAAATAATAATGTGTTGCTTTGATTTAATTTTGTTTCACCATAGAACAAGAGTTATCAGAACAATGGTGCACATATCTTAAAAATGTAATAAATCCTCTTCAGCAATTGAGAGCAGATCTAAAATACAGACAGCATCACATTTCACAGCATTCACACTCGCACAGTGAATCTAACTCTGTGAAAGTGCTGGAAGAGGTCAGTATATTTCCTTTACTTTTTTTTTTTTTTTTGCGAGTCCTTGTCATCAGGGATTAGATCCTGACTCATAGAGGAGGAGTCCTAGTTCTTGAATGAATGAGTGAGAGACAAAAAGAAATATCCTAGTTCTGACTATAACTGGAATGTAACTGAATGAGGTGTTACATACTCAAAAGATAAGTAATTAACTTATTTATATCAGAAATCAAGTTTTTATTACCTCCCTCAATGATTTATTATTGCTTTGGAGACAGGACTACAATAACAAAAACAACAGTAACATTTTTAGCTCCCGTTAGGAGCAGGGTTTCTTCATGAGGACTTCATAGCTGTAACGAGTCTACCGATTTATCTGTGTTGCGCCTCCCTTCTTCGGTAAGGAAACCACTTCCTGCTTCCCCCGACCCTCACCCACCCCACACTCACAAGCATACCTCTTCTTTTGTTTTTTGGGGTTTTTTTTGCGGTACGCGGGCCTCTCACCGTTGTGGCCTCTCCCGTTGCGGAGCACAGGCTCCGGACGCGCAGGCTCAGCGGCCATGGCTCACGGGCCCAGCCGCTCCGCGGCATGTGGGATCTTCCCGGACCGGGGCACGAACCCGTGTGCCCTGCATCGGCAGGCGGACTCTCAACCACTGCGCCACCAGGGAAGCCCTGTTTTACTTTTAATAATGTAATATTTTATTTTTATCCCAATTGGAAGAGTTGGAGATAAGAAACATGTACGTCTTATGTATATAAATAGAAGGTATAGTAAATTCTATCTACTCGGTATCTTAAATATATCCCTGAATCTGTCCAAACACACTAATTTCTCACCGAGAATGTTTCGATGACCTCGTAACTGGCCTACCCGCTTTCATTCTTGCCCCTCCTTCCAGGGTATTCTGAAATCCTATCATAGGGGAGGGGATCAAGTTACCCCCCTGGTAAATCCCTTCAGGGCTCCTACCGGCCCACAATTCCTCCCGCGATAGGGGCGGGGCGGGTGCGCAGCCGTTAACTGTTACCGAGAGATCCTTAGCGCGAAACCGTTAGCTCGTGACGACGAGCGAGTGACCCTTAGCGCTGCGGTTGGAGGTCCCGCTCCGACACCAGTCAGCGTTATGGTGGTCCTCGCGGCAGAGAATGTGGTGAGAGGCGGATCGCAGCCTTCTCCCCCGGACCCTCCAGGCCCATTGGCCATGGGCCAGCGGTGAGCTGCGGGGCGCCCCTGGACAACTGTCGTCTGCGGAGCTCCAGAGCCCCTGCCACGGCCGCCCGGACCTTGAAGCAGCCGCAAACCTCTCCTCCATTCCCACCTCTGAGACCTAATGGCAGCAGCGGTCTCCGTGGTCGCAGTCCGTGGGTCCCGGCCCTGTTTGGGCGACCTGAGGGCAGGCTGGGCCCTGGGCGTCTTGCTCGCTCAGTGATGTCTGTTGGGCAGGGTCTGGGGACCCGGCCCTGAGGGCACTGCCCGCTAAGATCTGTTTCCTCAGCCGGGCCTGGACACTGGCTGGAGGACCCAGACTGGGTGCTGGACCAACGTTCCTGGGTCTGGTAACTGGCCGCGCAGGGACCCTCTCCTCTTAGCCTGGGCCTGGACCTCGGAGGGCGAAAGTTGAGCCTTGGGACCTTGCCCTTTCTTGTAGAACAGAGAATAACATTTTGTTTTGGTGGAGGTTTACAGGAACATCATGACCTGACCATGACCTGACCTCAAGAACAAAGGATCTGAAAAAAAAAAAAGGAAAGAACAAAGGATCTGACACCAAGAAGTTTGCAACAACTAACCGCACCCCTCTCTCACCTTTCCTGTAACAGGGCTTTGCTGAAAGCTTTAGGGGAGTTTGGGTTTTTTTATGGCACGAGCCACCAGTCTTGTGGCATAGCCCTTTCTTTGCTCCAAACTGTGACATTTTGGTATTGTTTGGCCTGCTGTAAGTCGAACACACGGTAACACTCCCTGTACATTTCCCTATCCGCCTCCTTTAGTCTCACCTCCTATGTGACACCCTCTTTTTCCTACTAGACCTTGTCCCACCGACGCTGGCCTTCTTCCTATTCCTCACATAAGCCAGACTCCTTCTTGTCTTGAGGCCTTTGCACTGGCTGTTTCTTCTGTCCTACTCATGGCCCTTTCTGTCTTTTAGGTCTTAGCTTAAATGTCCTCTCCTCCGAGAGGCCTGTCCCGACCACCTGCATGAGAGAAGACCCAGTCATTCCCTATTACCTCAGCCAGTTTTTACCTCACTTACCTCCTCCTGATATTTTCTTACTTACTTTTTATGAGTTTAAGACTATCTTCCCTGACTAGAGCATAAGTTCCATTATCATAGTTGCCCGAGATGTAGGCTTTTAGGTGATTTTTCTTACTTTATTTTTCAGTTATTCTGTAGTATTGTCATATTGCTTTCATAAATAATAATTAAAAATAAACATTAAAAATCCATGTCCAACTGGGGATTGGAGGCAAGGATGCAAGGAAAGGAGTGGGTGATTAAAGCAGAGGCAATCTGGAAAGCTTTCTGCTTCATCACAAACAAAATCCAAATGTGAGTGCAGAGTGGCTATGACTGAGCCCATTTTTGGGTTATGTGTCTAGAAGCTCCTTTAAGGCTCCTTTGTCTGATGGGTACTGCTTGGCTATGGCATCTCTTGAACCCTCTTCCATGGGTCCTCAAAGGGACTTTATCTAATTTGTCATCATTTAATGGCTTTTGAGAAAAATTCCTGTGACTTTAAATATAAATATTGGATAAATCAATAATTTGCATACCACTTGTTCTAAATGTCCTATAGGTTGACTTCGTGAAGAAACAATTGAAAGCCGTCTATGAAAGACTTAGGCTAGAGCAACAGAAAATAGAAAATTATCTTTCAGACTGGAGTTTGAAAGTAAGTGCGATATAGGTAGTAATTTATCAATTTGTCATTTACATTAAATAAAATAATCATACAATTTTTTTTCAGACACTTGATCATTCTTCAGAAGAAAGAAGTAACCTGCTTAGTGAAATGCCCGTGGAATTAGAAACTTTGGAATGTCCATACCCTGACTTGAAGTTTTCAATCCTTAATGAATTCTGTAACTTTACAGAGAAATATCAAAAGAAACTTCAAGATTTTGATATGCAGTTAGAAGATATATACAGGTAATAAAACTACTTGAATTATCTAGATTTTTGCCACCAAATTTTTACTTTTTTAGGGGTCACTATACTTCCTGTTTACTGTTTTCATAGATACTTTGTGACTGGAATACAGACTATCAATAAATGTTTAGATTTACTATTTGTTGAATAGAGAGGTGTTTTTTTTTTTCTCCAAAGTAATTTCCTTGAAATAATGGTTTTAAAGATTTTTATAAGGTTGAAACTTGATGAAAATATCCCTCTTATTTATCTCTTTACTACACAGGTAAGAAATAGTTTTCAAACATGAATTTTTGATAACTATGAATTTTTATTTCAAGATGTGAAGCTCTTCTTCAATGGGAATCTACAAATCAGTACTAAAAATTGATTACAATGGAAAATATACCCATGGAATTATGTTACTTGTAATCTACTGTGATTTTGCCCTATAGTGAACACAAAGTATGTTTTATAAATTTATTTTTTAGAAATTGAAGTTTAAAAAAGTGCATTTACAATATTGTGTTATTTTCAGGTATACAGCAAAATGACTCAGTTATATATATACAAATTTTTTCAGATTATCTTCCATAATAGGTTGTTATAAGATATTGAATATAGTTCTCTGTGCTGCACTGTAAATCCTTGTTGCTTATCTATTTTATGTATAGTAGTTTATATGAGTTAATCCCAAACTCCTAATTTTTCCCTCCCTGTCCCTCCCTTTCCCCTTTGGTAACCATAAGTTTGTGTTCTATGTCTGTGAGTCTGTTTCTTTGTATATAGATTCATTTGCATTATTTTTTAGATTCCACAATAAGTGATAGTATATAATATTCGTCTTTCTCTGTCTGATTTAATTGACTTAGTATGGTATTCTCTAGGTCCCATCCTTGTTGCTGCAAATAGCAATAAGAAAATGCACTTTCGATTGTATCCTGAGAATGACAATCCTCTTCTGAATGACAACTATAATGTTAAGTGACTTAAAATTCAGTGTCAGCAGGGCCATCTTCTCTAGTGTAGATTCTATATTAAAATTCATTTAATGAACAAACCCAGAAATGCCACCCTGGGTCAGAGCAATAGCCTACTTCATGTAGTTTTCTGTATATGAAGTTTCTGGGAAACGTTTTGTAGGAAAATATGCTTTTTATTATATTGACCTCAAAAATTTCCCCAAAGAATATACACCTGAAAAGAAAGGAAAACGATTGAAGGGACGCATGTATAGTAAATTAGCAATAGAAGTAAAAGGCTCTTCCTTTGAAATGAAAGAAGATGAATGTGACAAGTATTAGTATTTCTTGTATTTCTTTTTTTTTTTAATTTATTTTAGTTTTTGGCTGCATTGGGTCTTCGTTGCTGCATGTGGGCTTTCTCTAGTTGTGTCGAGTGGTGGCTACTCTTCATTGCGGTGGCTTCTCGTTGCGGCTCTCGGTGCATAGGCTTCAGTAGTTGCGGCATGTGGGCTTAGTAGTTGTGACTCGCAGGCTCTAGAGCACAGGCTCAGTAGTTGTGACCAATGGGCTCTAGAGTGCAGGCTCAGTAGTTGTGGCTCATGGGCTGTAGAGCACAGGCTCAGTAGTTGTGGTGCACAGGCTTAGTTACTCCATGACATGTGGGATCTTCCCGGACCAGGGATTGAACCTGTGTCCCCTGCATTGGCAGGCAGATTCTTAACCACTGCACCACCAGGGAAGTCCCTAAATGGGCTGTTTTGAATAAATAGAGGTGGTGGGCATCAGAAATCTGTGGCTGGTGGGGAGTAAGGCATGTAAATGCACCGTTCTAATTAGCGCAGTGAATTATATATTCAATTTTAATATTTACTGGACTCTCATTTGCCAGTATCTGCCATTATTTTGATAAGGCCATTTCCCCTTTTGGTTCTAGTTATTAGGCCTTGTGAGAATTCACATAGATTGTATACATATATGTGTACACCTGTACAAGTGAGCGTGTGCATATTTTAAACAGGTGCCTACTGCTACAACATAAGAAGGCTGAAAGATCTAGGGGGCATTTTTAAATTGTGAGAAATTTTCATTGGGCTAAAGGCAGTGGACATCATGGTTAATCCCCAATATTTATTTTAATTCCTCCTATTTTGTAGCAGCTTGCCAGTTTGGGTTGGAATGACTCCAACCCCAGATCCAAAGGTAGACCCTGATGGGGAGTGTGCACCAGTCCATAACTTGATTCCCCCTGGTCACAACAATTAGCTCAGGGTGGTCCAAATCTAGGCAAAGCTCAGAACTTTTGTTAGATACTTGTGAGGAGTAGTGCATTTTCTTCCCTGTGGATCTACCAGGAAAGTACATGGCTGTGGTTGCTGCTGGCAGCCATCTTGTGGATGAAGGACAACAGCACACAAGGAGAGGAGAGGGCCCAGACAATCATGGGGAAACTGGTCTGGTACTGTGTTTGAACTGCATGGGAAGCCAACGTCATTGCTGAATTTTCAAGGGCAATTAGTCCATATTAATGTCTTAAACCAGTTTGAGTATAAAATTCCTAATTTTATATAATAGTTGATTTGGTTTCAAAATATCCATGACTCATGAAATTAATCTGTCAATTTAGTACAATTGCAATTGAAGAATTGTTCAACATTATTCCAAAATTTATTAGGAAGATTAAGCTTGTAAAATCACCCAAAGTGAAGAATAACTTCTTCAAAATGAAGAATAACTAGGGTGGGGGAGTGGTAAAACTTGCACAGCCAAATATAAATATATATTTTAATATCAAAGTAAATTAGCAAGTTCATATGTCTGTAGCAGATCAATGGAACAAAATAGAAATACAGAAAACAGAAAATATCTATAATAATTTAATTTATTATAAAGGTAAAATTTTTATACTGTGAGGGATTATTTATATGACAGCACTAAATAACAGGGAATTAGAAAGTTAGGTTAGATCTCTTATTCCTTATGACTCAGTAAACTCCAGGTGCATTAAAATGTGAAGAAGAAAATAATCATAAAAGAATTAGATAAAAATAAAAATAAGTGTTAAATAATCTTGGAGTGGAGAAGGCCTTTTAAAAACACATTACCTGCAGTGAAAATCATAAAGAAAAAAATTAAATAAATGCAATGACATAAACATTTAATAAAATATAACGGGATGTTTCCTCAGGCAAGTATTAAATCTTTAAAGACTCAAAGGGACTTCCAGTTTTCTGTCCAGCAAGTAAGGAGCTTAGAATTTGCCACTCTGCTCTAATGAGGAGTAGAAAGCTGAACAAACTGGAAAATCAACAACTCTTCTTAACTACCTCAGAGAAGTTAGGTCACAGGGCAAACCACTGCCCCCAGAGCTGGAGACACAGGTGATACAGAGAATCACAAATTACCTGAGAGGAAACTGGTTTAGCAGAAAGCTTCAGGGGAGCCAATGTTGGGGTAGGAACACCTGGACTGTAACTGAGGAATTGCTTGAAGCTGAGTTGTGGACAACTTTGAGAGTTAAAAACTCTAGGGCGGGGGGCTTCCCTGGCGGCACAGTGGTTGAGAGTCCGCCTGCCGAGCAGGGGACACGGGTTCATGACCCGGTCTGGGAAAATCTCACATGCCGCGGAGCGGCTGGGCCCGTGAGCCATGGCCGCTGAGCCTGCGCATCCGGAGCCTGTGCTCCGCAACGGGAGAGGCCACAACAGTGAGAGGCCCGCGTACTGCAAAAAAAAAAAAAAAAACTCTAGGGGGCCTTAGTTAAGAGGGGTGTCAGCACACTTTTGTGAGTTTTACCTCAAGAAGTTCTACCAGGTACCCACAGTGAATATCTGAGAAAAATCCCCTCATGCCTCTGACGAGGGAGGGGAAAATGAACCGTTTGGAAATACTCCAGAGCATTCTGTTCTTAACAAAGGCTGCCCTCAGGAGAAACTATTTTATTGGAGCCTAAAGTGCTACAGTTTTATCAGAACCTAACCTACCTGGGGGTGGGAAAATACACAAGTCCAGCAGCGCTAGCCTTCCTTGTTGGGGACGGAAATACCCAACTCCAGCCATCCTGTCCCACCAAAGGGAGGGAAAACTGAGAAGGATTTGTAGAGTTCATAGTCCCCAGATTTTCGACTGTGCTGAGGGTCAGTGCCCCTAACCCTCCCCTCCCTACCCTTCTTCCGTGTTGTCAAAAGGTCAACTGTATACTTGAATATACAGTGATTTATTTTTAGTTATTCATTGTAGTAGCTGAAGACTGAGGAAATAATGTCAATAGGAACTAGTTTTGTAGATTATTGTACAACCATACAATGTATTACTTTCCAGATTAAAAACAAAAAACGATGTAGGGAATTCCCTGGCGGTGCAGTGGTTAGGGCTCCACACTTTCAGTGCCGGGGGCCTGGGTTCAATCCCTGGTCAGGAAACTAAGATTGTGCAAGACACGCAGTGTGGCCAAAAAAAAAAAAAAAAAGTAAATACTTAGCATTCACTGATATGGAACACTTTCCAAGGGTCAGGATTAAGGTGTGATATAAGGTTAATAAGCAAGCCTTATATACAGTGTACAGTACACATTGTGTAAAACAGGAAAAAGTAAAACACATACATACAGATACATATTTGCTTTTATATGTCTGAAAAAATATGCAGAAATTGATAACATTTGTTGCCTTTGGGAATGGAAGCTAGATGCCTGGTGGGGGGGGAATGTGAGGGAGAATTTTTATTGTAACCACCCCCTTTTATTATACCTTTTGAATTTTGAAGGCTGTGAATATACTGTCTATTCTAAAAACAAGGAATTTTTTAAGGAAAAAAATAAGGGTAAAAAACAAATGACAAATAGGAAATGTTGGCAAATATCAGGCACAAAAAATTAAAATCTCTAACATATAAAAACACTTTGCAAAATTAATTGTTGAACAGCCAGAAGAGAAAAGGGACAAAAGAGAGGAAGAAGTGACTTATCATTCATATTTTCCACAAATATTTGTTGAGCAATTACTGGCATAAAATAAACAAAAACCCCTGTACTCATGAGGCAGGTTGGAGACACACAAC